TCTAGAGTTTTTAGGTTAATTGTTACAAGTTGAAGCAGTTGTGGACCAAGTGAGTTGAATAGAAGATTAGTGTTGTGAGAAGGTTGCTGTGGTGAAATTAGTTCTAGTCAGTCGTTCTATGTTCAATTTGGCTCTGGCTCTTGCTCTCTTCCCAAGTTCTCATATCCGTATGTTTGTGTCCAAAATTAAAAGATTCGAGCGGGTTTTTTTTTTTTTATCCAAACGAACAGATATAAACATTAAAACTCAAACGATCACAACACGATTAACCAAATGGCTAAACTGCTACCAAACCCGACTTACAAAGCAAGTTCAGCTACACAGAGCTCTCCTTACACGACCTTCAAGGTCCCTAACAACAAACCTGACTTAGTTACATAATAGGGTCTGAAAATAACAGTCATCAAAACAATGTTTCGACAATACAATATCGTCAACTAATACAGATTCTGGAATACTGGCTCGGACCCCTGCATTCAACCTCAACACAGCTGCCTTCGACTCCATATAGCACACCACCTTTTTCCGTCCCTCCTTGCTAGCCAGGTCCAATATCCGTCTCACAGCGAAGAAGTTGGCTTCCATCTCATCTCCTGGCCTGTCCCATTCCATCCGACATTCTTTGATTCAGCCTCCATTAATGGTTCCCTCCCCTCTAAATCTCACTTCGTCTGCAGAAGAAAGTAGAGCACTGTTATGTAAAGAAACATATCCGTCGAAAGAGGGTCCAAGTTTAAAGATTCTCTCTGTTTTCACTGTGGTTAATGCAGTTTAAAGATATTAATGCTGGAAATGATTCCTTAAAATGAACAATCATAGGGAAGATTGCCTCTAGTCACACCATTTATGTCCATGATGGTTAATGAACGGTGACAAATCACTGGATATGTGCATCCCTGTGTGGCGTGATTTAGTAATGCTATAGGTACATAATATTGTACATAGGGGTGTACATAACACTCACATCGAGTGGGACCCACTAAAAATAAAAAATCAAATAGACCTCACTCCATGTGAGTGTTATGTACATGTAGCATTTTCCTTAAATCAAATATACCTCTTAAATTATCAACAGTTTAGCAGTAATTTTCGTTTATCATCATTGGTATTATAAGTGTTGAAGTATAGGATTTTGGTAATGGTTGGCTCCCTAGTATTACGATTTTAGTGCAGTTGGTTTTATTTCGGTCTAGTCTAACCATTAAATCGATACTGTTTTCACAAATGTTAGGAAATGTTATAGTTCAAAATACAACATAAACAAAAGTATAACATTTAATAGTATAAATAATAAGCATTTTTGTTCAAATATAATAATCTGGTCAATCTGTCTTTACGGTTAAATTACTTTATATAAATGAAATTGTGTTTTGGCCATCCTTGCAACTGTTTACCGAAACTTACAAGCAAAACTATCGAAGTCCAACAGCTATCGATTCACTCAAACATTTTCTCACAGCATCTACAATGTACTGGGTCTAGTCTTGCCTATGTGGCATGTAAATAAACCCAAGTCTTGGATGACATGGATAAAATTACGTAATTGATAAAATCCACTCCAATGCAAAAGAGACTAGGTCTCTACTTGGATTTAAAATAGACTTAAGGGTAGACCGGGTCTTTTTTTCTTGCTGCCACATCAGCAGGACCCAGTCGACTTTTGTTTGCATTAAAGAATACATTTTGTTAGACTAGGTCTATTTCTTAAATGGCATACTATTTTTGATGATTGAACTCAAAACATTGTGGATGCTCTTACAAATATCGAAGTCCAGCTTCTTTCCAACGTGACATAAGGTGCTATTGGATACATTTTCAATTTCATAGCAAAACTTTCAGACCGACAGAAATTTTATGAAGCCATCGAATGACTTCTTCAAACTTCATGTACTGACAAATGTACAATACTACAATATGTATTTATTGCAGGACACGTGTCAATACACCATTTGTGAATAACTATGGATGGCTCCACAAGCCGACCCGTCCAATGGCTGTATTGCAAAACTTTTCGAACCGACCGAGAAAAGAATGTTTATTTTACCATTCTGTGTAAAATGTACAAGCCATGCATAACTCCAAATCATCATATTTGCCATACGCTTGGTTTCATACCACCTAAATCCTTTTCTTATACCGAGTAAAAAGATAGAAAAATAGCATTTTAAGTACTCTACTCTCAAGAGATCCTCTTATCATTACAGGAAAAAGTATAGAAATTTCAACAACATAAATCGTCTTTCATATTCAGAAACAAACAAAACTGAGCAAACAAAATATCTTATGGAGTGAGCAAATAAAATATAATCCACATGCCCCTAAACGAGTAACTCCGCAGACAAAAACCAAAACCAAAGACACAAAAAGGTCACATTAGAGAAAATTAAAAATACTACTACAAGCCAATGAACGCATTATGGGACACGCATTTTCAAGCACCATAATAATTAACCTTCATGAAATCGTTTGGTCTTATTTGCCACCAAGGCTCGGGAACTGGCCAGGATCTTCAATGGAAAGTCCTCCGGGATTGCTCGTATTGCCGCCACCATAACCACCTCTAAACCCACGCCCACGTCCTCGGCCACGACCACCGGCATTGTACCTTTCACCCTCAGCTGGCTTCAAGAACTCGTTGATGCTCACAGACTGACCAATTAAAAATAACAAATCAATTAAAAGAACTCGTCATTTGAAATAAGTAAATTTTGCAACCAAATGGTCTTTGCAATCGAAGGTTCATAAATTCTTGTACGAGGCCTTAACCATTAAACGGGTCGACTCGTCATTCTTCTCTTACAAAAAATGCATACTTGTATTATGAAATGCCATGCGGTTTTTACTCTATTTTTATTTCATCCACATCATGTCTACCTCATCATTTTAGAAAATATCTCTCCATTTATAAACACCCACATTTGTTAATACATTTACATACAATTACATTTGAAGGCAGGCCCACAAATATGTATCCACAAATGCCATTAAAACTACCAAATGGCATCTGAGGGGCCCACAATTTTTACATTTTAACATGTTGACCACATTGGTACAAAAGTATGTTCATTCCATTTAAATGTATTTTAAGGTGCAGATGCTCGTAGAGTATGATTTCAATTTGAAGGTATGCATATCTCTTCAAAAGTATCTGCCTAACAGCAATCCTACCGTTAGAAGTTTAAGTTGCAATGTAGAAATGTTAGCAGAGACCATACATAATTTGAATGGCCCATCTATTATATGGATTTGAAAGATAATAGTCAAATTTACACAAACATGAAATGTATTGCTCTATATATATATGTGTACATGAACATTACCTTTCTAGCTCTCTCTTCCCTCTCGGCCAACTCTTTCTTCTTATCCTTGTTGTCAGAGCCCTGAAAGAGTGTTATTCGTTTAATGCACAATCGTCCAAAACATGGTTTGCTAACTAACCTCTTGAATGAGTTGGAAATAAACTGGAAGCTAACACGGGTTTTACCAATTTGACAAATATGTCATCATTTGTCTTCTTGTTCGAAAGTGGTTGCATTGCCTCAAACTCTTTCATGTCAACTTTCCTCGACTCAGTTTTAAGCGCCTGTAGAGCCTTTCTTTTCTCCTCCAGAACCTTTTCATACTCATCCAGTGTCATCTCCTACAGTGTGAGGCGGCACTAGTGTTACCGAGTTGATCTTAAAAATCACATTGAAATAAATGGTTCAAGGAAATAAACGCCGGAAAGGAGGCAGTCCAATCACACCGACTAGAGGATATTAGCTTTTTAACAGGCAAAATCACGCATTATTGTTTGCACCATAAATTTGAGAGAAGTGAATTTACTCCTAAGCTTCACAATCATAAAAGAGCGTGAAGTCTATTAGATGAAGTCATCTCAAGATTCTTAACAACATAATAAAGGAGTTATAATAAACATGTACAAAGACATGTGAGTGAGAACTCCTGACCACAAATTTAAAATAAGTATTAATAGATTTTCAAAATAGAATATCTTTATTCATTAAACCCAAGTACCCAACATCCAGACAAAAAACTAAATGATAATACTTTGGAATCGAGGGAAGTAACATCTCTTCACCTTATCCTCAGGTTTCTCCTCTACAGCTTCATTTTTAGCAGCTTCCTGATCTCCATCAACAGCAGCAATCTCCTCTCCAGATGGCTTCTCAGGAATGACACTTTTCTCAGCTTCAACATCAACCTCAGCCACTCTGTTGCAAAAATAGTTACAAGAAATAAATAACATAAATCATCACAACACTAGCACACGGAACAGTACATATACCAAAAAAGCAAGAAACACTCACTGAGCCAATTCATCAGTCTCTGTTCCCCAGTTCCCTCGGCCAGCTCCTTCCCGTTTTAACTCATTTCTGCACAAGGATTTAATATATTTAAGAGGTGATGCTAAAACTCAAATAGAAAATGAAAAAAAAGGTAAGCAAAAAGTGAGCCAACCCAAAAGGCTCAGAGAATGAGTCTGACAAACAAAAGACTGTGTGTGTATGTGAGAGTGATGTAGACAGACAAAAATAGTGAGAGAAAGAGACCCTTGGCCAGTGCCACTATGTCGGTCGTATTGCCTGCGACGGTCACGGTCACCCTCTCTGCCTTCTCCATTGCTGAAGCCACCTCGACGACCACCACGAAAAGGCTCACGGGGTCCACCATAGCCACCACGCCTTTCATAAGTTTTTCCACCATCAGCCTCTGGTGTACCTTGGGCAGAAAATTCCCTGTTTCCATAAGTACTTTCCTTGTAGTTTGAATCCCTGTAGGAGCCACCACCACCACCACGGCCCCGGCCATAACCGCGTCCTCCACCACGACCACCTCGTGCAGATTCAGATTTTGACTCCTTGACTACTCCGATTAAAATGCAACAAAAAAGTGTAACGATGAGCAGGATAACACACACACTTTTTATTGTTTAAAATAAACATAGTTTCCATTAGAAGCCAGTTGGAGAAATTAAACATTAAAACAAACAGTAGAAAATTACAATTTGATAGATCTTCCATAATGGAAACAATGGCGAAAATAAAATCATACAAAAGCCACTGCGAAATATAAATTAAGGAAACCAAAGATCTATGTCACACAGATACATGATTAATGGTGTTCAAACCATTACAGCCACTAAAAGGTACGCACCAACAGCTGTTGGGACAACTCTTCACCAACATTGGTGTCTTTTTACCAGCCACATTCAATTTTTTTACTCTTTTAAAATAAGTCGATTTAAAGAAAGGAAAA